GGAAGAGGAGAGGCGTGAAGGCTCCAGCACTGTTCTGTAATTTTTCCCAGTGGTGGCACAGTGTGAAGGATTCCAGCAGGCGAGCTCCTCAGCCCTCACTAGACAATTCTCCACTTGAATGTTCCTGCAGTGAAAACGCAGCGACATCCACCAGTGTCACTCGGGCACCTCAGTACCTGCTGCAGAAGTCCTGGCAGTTAACAATGAAATCGTCAAGATTTCCTTTTCGTTCCTTTCCAGGCAGCCAGGGCATTGTTTTTCTCCTCTGGTTTAGCACGCGAATCCATCCTTTTGTACATGATCAGTGAGACTGTGCATGTTTTCAGAAGCCAGCTTTACACCTGGCAGACTTGCTTGTTGGGCAGTAGTTCTGCCAACGAGAAAGAAAATAGACAGATTCTCATATGTCCCCAGATTGCATTACAAAGCAATCAAAGGAGAGTGTTGTTTTCTGGCCTGATATTTGGCTTTGGTTGTGTTAATTCTTAGAGATATGCCATCCTAAATTTCAGTTAGTTTTTTTTAAAAAATATTTTTGAAAAACTGGTATTTTACAGATCGCGATTGACAGAGGAGGAGGCACGCATGGCAATATGGACAAGTAGGAGAAGAAAGAATATATAGTAAATGTTTTAATTCCTGCAGAGCTTGATGTGCTTACATGTTATATATTTCATTTTCCAACAATACTTTATTTAAAAAGAGCCAATCCAGCTTGGCTTAGTTCTTGCCCAAGGCCATTTATATGGTACTTTAAGTAAAGCACTTTGCACCCCTCTGTGCACAAAGGTACAGGGGTTATGCACCAATTAACCTGTCAGGAACCTTTTGACTATGGAAGATCCACAGTAAAAAATAAAAATTTCAAGAGAATTTGAAGATCAACATAGTAGTATATGAGGCATAGTGCTGATAAGGGACCTGAAAAATACAGATTTATACCAAAGAAAAAATCGGGATAGATCTCGCTTTGCTGAAGCTGGAAGAGTCACTCTGGTTGAAAGCATTACCCAATACAATTAAATTTGATTTGTTATATGGATGTTCATTTTCATCCAACTTATTTTAGAATGTCTGTCTTATAAAGTAAAACTGCCTTTAAATTTAGTTTTTGCGTTGAGAAGTGGATATGAGTGCAGCCTATAAATAGGGTTTACTTATTCTCAATGCAAAGATCTACACAACCTTAGAGTTTTGTTAAACTTAAAATACTAATAAAATATGATCTCAATTCCCTGACTAAAGTGCTGGGAATCAGTGTATAACTGCTTAGAGAATTCTCCACTTTGGAATCTTAATATGGATGGGCTCTGGGGCGTCCACAAATGAAATTATATAGAACATTGTGTTTGCGCACATGTGCCTTCGAGAGGGCTTAAGCACCACTGTGAGTTTAGCTGTGGGGCCAAGGGGATGCCATAGCATTTTCCTGCCTACTCAGTCTGAGTATATGCATAGCCAACACTGTGCTAAACCTTTTCAGTTTGGAGGTTCTATCTCCAGAATTATAAGACATGTCTCAATTTGGTCGTGGGGACACAAGGTAAGTGCCGGGGCTTCCTCAACCATAAGTAAAAGTTATTTTTACTTTTAAAAAAGTTATTTTTACTTCTTTCAATTTACCAGTGGGCTTTCTGGATTATCTGGAAGTTGTCCTTCGAAACTGGGCAGTCTCTTTACTGAATGTATTCTAGGCAGTAGGGAGAAACTGCGTGCATGTGTGTGTGTGTGTGTGTGTGTGTGTGTGTGTGTGTGTGTCTGAACATTAGTAGATATTGGAAAGATGTGTATTGAGTAAATGAATGAATAAATAACTGTCAAAATGAACAACTAACCAAATAATTATAATAATATGTATTTTAACTTCTTCAATGAAGCCCCTGCTTGATTAAAACAGAAAATTGGAAAAGGAGACTGAGAAGTTGTTTTCCTGTTCCCACTGTGATCCCCTGCAGGAGAAAGATGCCCACACAGGTCATTGATGTTTTAGCCTGCAGGCTCATAAAACTCTCAGAAATGGTCATTTTTCCTTTAGTCTCTCTCTCTCTTTTTTTTTTAATATAAATGTCAGCTATCCAATTTGATAAAGTCAATCTTAAAATATATTGTGCATGGTCTCTTCTGGATAACTTCGAGTGAAGCAGGGGATACAGCATGCGGTTTGGTTTCTTCCACGTTGATTTTGAAGATCCAGCTCAACCCCGAGTCCCTTATGCGTCAGCAAAGGAGTATGCCAAGGTCATCCTAAACAATGGACTAGAGGGACATCTGTAGAAAAGATGGATGAGCAGTATTACCAGGAGGAGATGCCTCTACTTTTGGAAAGGAAATCTGCTTTGGCGATCCCTCAGATAACTTCCGGTTGCCTTTGTAATCAACAGGTCCTACCTTGTAATCCCTGAACTGTAATGTCCAGGGATGTATTTAATGATGGCCTTTACTATATTTGCATTTGGATCAATGAGGCTTAAAAAAAAATAGAACAGGAAACCATTGAAATTGATTTTTATATTAAGAAATCTGATAGACTTAAAAAATTCTATTTAAATCCTTAAAATTTTTCTAGGAAAAAATAATGCAAAATTTATAAACAGTATGTTCATGATTTGCAACTCTAACAATGACCACTTATTACAAGAATACTTGTTTACAAGCCTATTTTTTCTGGTTATATAAGCTATGGTTTGCTTTTAGATCCACTGTTGTGCAGTCTATAATTTTTCTATGACTTAATCGAATGTAAAAGAAAAGTCAAAATTAAATTAAAGTTAGTCATATTATATAGATATAATTCTATTCACCAAAAGGATTAATTGATAACCTTTTTAATAAAATGGATTTGATGATGTATTTGGCACATGTTTTATCTCTGCATGAACAAGTATGTCCTTCTCTTGCCTGATGAACTTTTGAAAAATAATAAATTAATAAAACAAATTGTGAACGACGGAAACAGTATTTGAGTGTTAATGTTTAGCAAAAACTGGATTCCTACTCTAGAGTGACATCAAGTGAAAAACAAAATAATAAGGCCATGATCTCTACTTTTGAGTGTTTTAAAAAATTTAAGATGCTAAAGAACATTGATGACACCCATGAAATACATACATCAATTGATTGACGCGTGTGAACGTAAGCAGAGAATGGGAGGATTCATGACATCGGTAGTTGAAATGTCTGAGATGTATATGGGCTTCTTCAGTAATAGATATCGACTCCCTCTAGACTTCATGTCTCCACTCCAGCAAACCTTTTACATATGTGGAATTTGTACCCTCACGCTTATTCTTAAGCAGTATTTGCTAAACATTCATTAGTGTAGCAGGCTTGAAGCTACAAGTATTATCACCTCCATTTTGCAGACTGAGAAACTGAGGCCACACTTCCTGAAGTCATAGTATGTTTACTAGACCAGGCACTTCTTTGGCATTGGCTCTGTTCTCTGTCCAGCACCCTGTGGGTTGGGGTGCCATAGGGTGCCATGAGGTGCTTTGCAGTTTTTTGAATAGGGAAAAGAAGCAAGGATGTGGAGTTGCCTGATGCAGGAGGAAGTAGAGAAGGTGGTTTTCTGTATCCTCAGTCTGCCTGCTTGAAGAATTGCATATAGTTTGCCATTCTCATAAGGCTTTGGCCCTAAGTAGACACTGCATTTTTTTTTTTTTTTTTAAACTGTGGTCAATTTCTGGATCATGTTCATGTTCATAAATGGGTTTATTTACAGCAAAGAACACTTTCTCAGTAACTTTGGACAGAGTGAGAAAGAAATGGTCGTAGTAGTTCGATAAACTTGGATGCACTGGGGAAAATTATATGAAGATTGAAATGGTATACATAGGAAGTTCTATTACATCTTTGCCACTGGTTTGTTATTTTTATTGTTCAATGAGACATTATTTCACAATTTGTGTTCATTTAAAAAGCACATCTCCAAATCTTATTTCATTCCTTTCCTATTCAGCCTGTCTTTTTCATTTTTACCATGTATCTTATTTACAATTTATGTGCCCTCTTATATTATCTTGCAAGGCAACCGAGTTTTCCTTTTAATTAGGATGTTGCTTTGAATATTACTTATCCTACAGGGCATATTTACAAGTTTTACAGCAATTCAGATGAGTACTGTATTTTGGTTACCAAACCAAGAAAATTAATATTTATGCTGTAAATAAAAGGGTCTATCACGTTGGGTCTACCAGGTGAAATATGCATTATAGCTGCAGCTCCCAGGCTTCCTCACAGTGTGGTGGCCTTCTGCAGCTCTCTGCTGGGTTTTAAAGGCCAGCTCTTCATCTCAGGGATGGATCAAACTAAGGGTGCTTCCCTAATTAGTCCTGTAAATTAGAATTGCCATGAGGTTAGGGTGAAGAAAAAAGAAATCTACCAACCCAAAACCTAACAGCCCCTGTAGTACTGTAATTAACGTTATTTTTAATTGCTTGTATTAGCATTTGAAAACGAGATTGATTGGCTTTTGCCAGTCAAGGAAAAAGAACTTGGATTCTTTAAATGGAAAAACAGGAGTTGTTAATTATACTTAAAAATCCATAGATACTGTACTTAGATGTCTTGAAGGTCATCTGAGGCTTGTAAAACACATGTTTTATGTCTGTTTTATCTAAGGAGAAACCTGAATATCACAATGATGGATTGGATCTCTTTGTATTTCTTTCTCTCTATCTTTCTTTCTGTTTTGTTTTGTTTTGTTTTGTTTTTAAGGGAACGTGAATACATGTTATTAACGTCCTGTGGATCACTTTTAAATAATTGTTCTTTTAATTTTTTTTGTTTTAGGGCAACTCATTTCTGATCGCTAAAAACCTGCAGAAGAATACAGCAGCCCATTTCATTTTGATGTGTAGGGCTTTAGTTTTATAACTTCTGCGAACACCACCAGAAAATGTACACCTAAGCCCTTTATTGAATGAGAAGGTATGAGTTCTCATTAAGAAATCCATAAACTAGGAAGCTGGCAACCTTAGTATTTGGCAGTGGAGTGCCAGTCAGGCTTTTGTGCTCTGGGAATTTGTGTTCGGCCCATAGCTTTTAATTATTTTTATGAACGAGGGAATAATGAATACATTTGTAATATATTGAAAAAATTCCCCAACACCGACTGACCAAAAAGTAGATTTATATGATAATCCTTAAACACCAATTCTGTTGCTCAGTGCTAGGCAGAAGGAAAATAGAATACTGAGCTTCATTACTGAGAGGGCAGAATAAATCAAAGCTGATGGAATTAATACTGTTTAATTACTAGCAATACACCTAACCTGGAGAACGCATATTCATCACTGATCACAATATTTTAGGCTACAGTTGCCCTGGGAGAGATATAATACTGAGCACAAAGTATGATGAGTCTTAAAGAAGGAAATTAGAGAAAATTTTAACACAGAGACACTTTATGGCGGCCTTCGGAATTATGGCAGCGTGAAAGAGAATAAACCTTATTAACTGTGGCAGGAGGGAGACGGGAAGGTGTGGTGACGGCACTGGGTTAGGGTCATGGGGAAGAGCAACTCCCAAAGGGGGTACTTAATGAGTGTTTCTTGTAGAGAGTAGATAGGACTTGTCCCAGGTTTACCCAATGTCTGCAAGTGACCCATGACTGGCTTGTGTGACCTTGCCTGAGTGGCTATTGGCATCTGGTATAAGGCAAATATAGTATAATCATTAAGATTGCAGGCTCTGGAACTGGTTCACCTGGATTTGAATCTTGGCCCTGAATCTTGGCTCTGACATTTAATAGCCAAGTGTCATTAAGCAACATATTAAACTTCCCTGTGCATCAGTTTTTCTATCTGTAAACTGGGCTCCACATAAGGCTGTTGCAATAGTTAAATAAGCAGAGTTGTAACATGCTTAGAACACTTCCTGGGGCATGGCAAGGGCATGATTAATATGAGCCATTATTTTTAACTCTCAGACCTGTTCACATTGATCCGCCAGCAATTCATCCATTATAGTGTAGATATTTCCTACCCTGGTACAAAGTCCAGTTCCCACGGAGACATCTGCTCTGGTAAGTCGTGATTCACTGTCTCTCCAGTTTCCTGTCTGTCTAATTCTTGTGGCAGCAGTTTTCCCTATGATCTCAATTCTCTGACTGACCTAAGAAAACTTGTTAATTTTCAACTCGTGCAGCTTTTTCTTGTTAGGTAGAGAACAATGAAGTTCAAGCTCCTTACACATTGGACCAGAAACAGGGAGTCAAGTCACCATTATGGTAATCATGAGAATTGAAGGTTTCCAGCAGCATAATTAGTACCTATTTATTAAACTAAACTTCAATACATTGTAGGGATGTAGTACTGCAGACAAAATGGTTCTTCTCCAAAGTTCATGGTCTGGTTGGGGAACTAGGAACATGAAATAACAAATAATATGAGGCAAATTTTCCAAATGGTAAGATGGGATCAGCTCTCTGCTAGCTGGGGTGGGCAGATATGGCTTCCTGGGCAAGGGAAAATAATATAATATAAAAAATAGCATAAAGGATACTAAGATCATCGAAGTAATAGAAGTAAAAATCTGGAAGTGGAAAGCATAAGGCCTTTTGGATGCAAGAGGCAGTGCCCAGGCCAGTGCGCCTTGGGGAAGAGAGTGGGCAGGTTGGGACTAAAATATGGAGATTCTCTAATATTCGTCAAGGACACCTGGGTTTTCTCTTAAAGCAAATTTGAAGGTTTCTGAGTAGGATGGTGATGCTTTAAAAGTAACTTGTTGAAAGATGGCAAAGTAGGCTGTAGGAACCAAATAGAAAGCTTCTTGTAGCAGAATACTGATGTGTGAAGGGCCCTCTTTAAGGTGGAAGGAATATATATTACATGTTAATGTATAAGTAATGTGTCAAAAGTACACAGGAACCTAAATGCAACATGATCTCTTGGATCAGATCCTGAAATAGAAAAAAGGACATTAGTGGAAAAACTAGGAACTACAAATAAAGTCTTTAGTTTAATTAGCAGTGCTTTACCAATGTTAACGTCTTAGGTTTTGTTTTTGTTTTTGTTTTTTATGGTGACTTTGGTTAACAAAATCCAGTAAGTTTCAGGTGTACAATGCAACAGTAAAGCATATATATATATATATATATATATTGTATTGTATGTTCACTGCCCATAGTTGGATTTCTTTATGTCACCCCATATTTGACCCCTTTTACTCCATCTACCTCCCTCCTCCCCCAACTCCCTCTTCCCTCTGGTAACCACTAGTCTATAGTCCATGTCCATGAGTCTCTGTTTGTTTGTCCTGTTCATTTGTTGCTTTTAGGTTTATATCCCACATATAAGTGATATCTTGTGGTTTTCAACTTTTTCTGTCTGGCTGATTTCGCTGAGCATGATTATCTCGAGATCCATCCATGTTGTGGTAAATGGCAGTATTTCATCTATTCTTATGGCTGAGTAATATTCCGTTGTATACATGTACCACAGCTTCTTTAGCCAATCACTTATTGTAGGACATTTCGGTTGCTTCCATGTCCTGGCCCCCGTGAATAATGTTGCTATGAACACCGGTGTGCAAGTATCTTTTCGGATATGGATTTTCATAACTTCTTAGTTTTGATAAATAAATATACTGTGGTTATGCAAGATGTTAACATTAGGGAAAGCTGGGTGAAGCTCTGTACTTTCTTCGCATCTCTTTTGTAAATCTAACATTATACCCCTGCAAAAAAATTTTAAAAAATTGACATGGGAAGAGTTAATACCATATTCAGAGAACATATTAGATATAGGCATATATTACAATCTACATAAACAGAGATAAAAGCGAAGAAAGTAATAACCACTGTTAATGTCTTGATATTTTTCTCTCTCTCTAGGTTGTGGTATTATAGCTAATTTTTTTCTACTTTATATTTTACTCCCAAATTTGTCTTATTTAGCTTCTGTTTTCTTTTATTATTAGGAAATATTTTTAAAGACAAACTTCAGCAGTCAAGATGATTGATTGGATGGTAGAGTAATGGAGATAGATAAGTCAGCAATGGCTCTGTGTGGGAACAATGGTACGTTGATAGAAATTGGCAAGTATACACATTACTTCATCTAGGTAATACTTTAAACACGTCATGGCAATAAATATTTCTGAAGTACATGTTACTGTTTTGAGATATTTAAAAATTAATTGCTACCTCTAGTCTATAATCACCAATTTATTATATCTGTCATACATAATGTTTTTTTTGTTTGTTTCCCCTTCTAGATGATGAACAATTTGAGGTCTTATTCATCTTAATATTTCTAGTACCTAGCATGATATGTGGCATATCTAAGCAATTTATAAATGTGTATTAAATTATTGATGCAGTGGATATTAGGTAGTCAAATTCTTATTTTCAATGGAAACTCAAGACACAGATTGACTCGTTTAATCCTTACAAGGACCCAATGAGATAAATTCTACAATTATTATCCCTGTTTTACAGATGAGTAAACTGAGGCAGAGAGAAAGTAACTTGTTTAAACCATAGATCTAGGAAGTGGTAGAGCCAGCACTGCAACCCGTACAATCTATTTCAAGACATTGAAATGCTACTTCCTACTCTTTCCTGATATGGTTGTGGAAGAACAGGCCTGGCCCTGGGGCTTTGGCTCCCCTGACGTGTGACTTAGTCATATTGCAACATTTAAATATAAGATCCTCTGTGTCTCCAAAATTTCAGCCTATTTTTCATACTTCCCAGCTAGCCATTTCACAAAGTAGTAGCTGTGTAGTTTCTTTCTTTTCAAAGACTACCACTGTCTCCACTGAACATTATTATTTTTTTGCTTCTATGCTCACTCAGGCTGTTTCATTTTTGAATCCTGTCTTCTAATAAACTAGTTGCTCTTCCCAGGAATGGCACTTGACCACGGTGAAATGATTCCCTTGATAAAAGTGTGGCATTTCCAGTCACCGGCTGGGCAGATGTGGTGGCTAAGCACGTGGACAGTGTCAGGTCAACCAGGGCTTGATCGTAGCTCAGCATTTATGGAATGTACAACCTCAAGCAACTCACTCATACCTCCGATTTTTATTTTCCTCATCTATAAAGTGAGAACTAAAATAAAACTAGTGACTTTATAGGACTTTCGTGAGAATTAAATGAGATAATACATGTAAGATACTTATATAACTGTCCACTAAGTGGTAATTATAATGTCCATTAAGTGGTAGTTAGCTATTATTATTTTTCTCTGTTGGTATTAGTGCAAAGGCTCTAAAATTAGGGAAATTATTTCAGGCAATCGACTTACCACATCCTCACTAAAACAGTGGATTCACTGATGGGCATCCACTGACAGATTCAAGAAAACACCTTGTGATTCTTGCAGTGGAGGCTTATTCTTCCCTGGACCAGCATCCCAATCTAGTGCTCACTTCCTCCATGACTTTCCCAGATCCACACTGCCCAGGAGATGGACGGCTGCCTTCTGGAAGAGTGACTGCCTTCTCAACACTGCTGCCTGCTGAGTGATGATTTAGTAACTGTCCTGCATCAAATTTAATTCTGCAGTGGGCTCCATGTGCGTTTTGTGGGCTCATGATCCATATCATGAGAACCGAAAACATTTTATTTACCACTTACATAGACAAAGAAGACTGATGGAGAAGTCACACTGTGTCTTCCATTCTCCCGTAAGTGTCTCTCTCTCTCTCTCTTTTCTCCTCCTCATAAATGACAGCACACGGCTCTTATTACTTTAATAGGCCGTGCATTCATTTGCTGCAAGACAGAACTAGCGAAAGAAAGGGTTTGGCTGAGAATAACGTTTTTTTATCTTTTCTGTAAAGCTTCATTTTTACAGTAGAATGCACCCCTGAAAACCTTCCAGATTTTCTATTTTCTGATCATTCTGTCTATTATAATTCCCCCCAATGGCAAACTTCTCCTTATTGACTCTAAATTACATTTAATCCTGTTAGGATCTCTTTTTATTGAAAGGATTGCGTTGTGATGGCATTGACAGGAGTCCAGAAGCCAAAGCGCCCAGCCAAAGGAAAATAAACTCTTGGAGCTTCCTAATGATTGTCATGTTCATGCTGGGCCCAGCTGCGTAGTCTCCTGAAGGATGCAGAGGATTGGGGTGTTCGGTGCAGATAATGGTGGGCTCCTGGGTAGTGTGGAGAGCTCTCCACTACAAGAACATAATCTTTTGAGCCCACTGGACTAAGAACCAAAGGCCATTTTGAGCTAAGACAGTATAATTCTATTAGTGAAAAGCCCTTGCAGAAGGAAATTGCCTGTGCTAAAATCTGTGAACAAATTAAAATAACAGGGCTAAGGGGACGATATCTCTATAAAAGGCTTTATGACTCTAGTGGATAATAATATCCTTGTCACATTAGGATCTGGGGACCTGAAGATATAGAAGTTTTTTACACAGCATATGGGCCTTTGTACTCAACTTTAGCCTATGCCGTAACTGCATTCTTAGGGAACTTATTTTATGAATTTGTATGCTGTGCCAAACGTACCTTTGTTCTCATAAAGAAAAAGCAGAAAATAGGGTCTGCATATCATTGCTGTGTGTTGACACCTTATAAAATTGATGTCATCTAAAAGCCCCACTTTGGCTAACTGCATTGCATGTGTAAGTTTCCCATAATTTGCATGGGATTTCACAGCCATAAGCACTGTTAATATTGCTGTTTTGATATGCATGTAAAATGTATTTAAATGCATACCTCGGCTTAGAATAGATTCATTAGAAAGGGTGAACTGGAAAAAAAAAGGTTGTCAGCACAAATGCTGCTCATTTTCCAGGGTGACAGCAATCAAATGTCCCGAGGACTGTGACTGTCGAATAGTTAACTTCACGTTTGCAGCGTTATCTCTACGGTGGGCCTTCCTCGTTAATTGGACGGCAGCTTCAAGTTAAAGCTTATGCTACATTTCCCTAATTCCATGACAAAGACAACATGAGCAAGGGGCTGTCACATATTTCAAAATTGTGTCATGTAAGTAAATAAAGATACAGTTCATAATTCTATGAAAGGATGATGGCAACATTTATTCTAGAATTAAACAATAATGAAGCAGCAATAGTAATAGAGTAAGGAGTTTAGTGCCAATACATCTCTTTATGTATTAATTTATAGCAAAATAAGATAGCAACCAACTGGTTTTATTTACTCCTGCCCTCCTGCCCTTTCGTCCTCCCTCCCTCCTCTCTACCCACCTCTTTCTCTTATCTTTTCCTCCCTGTCACTTTATCTTTCCTACCTTCTTCTCTTCTGGTCACTCCACTCACTCACTCACTCATTCACTCACTCACTCACTCACTCACTCTCGTCTTTCATTGGTCATTTATTATGAACATACCTTGGCTCAGGCATTGTGCCAACATTGGGACTATACTATGACCAAGACAGTTATAACTTTGGTCTTCATAAAGCTTATAATTTACCTAGAAATAACACTAGATTATCTGACATGAAGACCAACCCCATGCTTAGGCACCAGCAAAGGAAGAGCCACCCTCCTCCCCGTTTTTAAAATATGATGTAGCTTCGTATATCATATTTGGAGTAAAGCATTGAAGTAATCATGATGAGAACTATCAAAACCTTGTTGGACAGCTTAAACTTATTTGAAAGTTTTGATTTTTTTTTTTTTCTTAATTCCAAAATCCATATGGCGTTGGAGGAAACACCATTATCTTGTCAGAGCTTAGGGCCTCTAAAAGTCTTAATAGAGAACATGTGGGGACCAAGTAATTAGACAGTGACATTGAACAAGTAATTAGAAGTGTGATGAGTGCTGTAAAGGAGACGTACAGAGTGCTATGGAGCATATGACAGGGGGCCTAACCTCCCTTCTTTTTTCCTGATGAAATCCAAGGCGCACGCATTATCAGCTCTAGTGGAATAAAGCCCTTGACAGAGTTGATGTTTACGGGGCCTGAAGTGGGTGAGGGTGGAGAGTAGCAATCACTCTTTCTGCCTGCCCCTGAGCCGGGTAAAACGCCATTCTAGGCAGACGAAGAAAGAGTCGAAGACTCTTAAGAAAGGTCTTGCATAGGACAGATATTTTTTACTCTAACAGAATTGAATAGCTGGACAATCTTAACTCTAAGAAGTAAAAATCATTTCCTTTATCTCCAAATGGTAAGGATGAGAGGAAGGAAGCTGCAAGTAAAGGCCACGTCATCTGCTGCGTCGTATGGATAAGCTTTAAACGTTCTGTTCCTCATGGCTCCGAGGTCTTCTGGAGGCTTAACGTAAGGACTATTGATATAAGGACAGTTTCCAGGATGACTTTATTATACCATAAGTAGGAACAGTGCTTGGTCCTTAGAAAGTTCGATATAAAGTTGTATGTCAATCATAGAATTATCTAGGCTACTATACTTAGTGTATACCAGTGGTTCTCAAACATTAGTGGGCATCAGCATCAGCCAGAGGGCTTATTAAAACAAGGATTGCTGGGCCTCCTCTCAGAGTTTCTGATTCAGCAGGTCTGGGGGTGGGGTGACAGAATGTGCATTTCTCACAAGTTGCCAGGTGATGCTACTGTTGCTGCCCACTGTGAGAACCCTCGGTGTGCACAAAGAGTTCACTAACTTAATGGTGGGGAGGTGAAAAAGTATTGGCCTGAGAATCAGAAAACCTGAGCAGATTTCCAGCTCTACTGATCCTCTTTGATCATCTGAATTTTGTTGAATTTCTCCAAATTTCTTCCCTCATTTGTACAATGCATGTTCTTATAACAAAGTTGCTATAAGGATCAAATTATATATCTGAAAGCATTTTATAAACTGAAAAGACCCTCTGAGATTTAAAAATTTTTGCTAATTCTCACCATAATCATGGATCTCTACCTAGTATGTCCAATGAACAGAGGCCCAAAGATTGTGGAAGGCTTCTCAGAGGGTGGCAAGAGCAGATCTCTGACCTTGAACTGTCACAGTTATAGGAAGTGTCATGTAGAAATTCGTATGCTACAAATCAGACATAACAGAAAAACTGGGTGTGACCAATTCTGTGGTATGTCTCAACATCTCTGTTTGTTGCATTTGGCAGTCTGTCAATTTGGAGAGAATCAGAGTTGTCAGTTTTCTCTGTCAGATCTGATTCTGGGTGAATGGATGAAATTCGTTGGCCAAGAGTGCCTAGACTTTTTTCAAAAGTGATAGCGTTAGGAAAACCTGGTATAGTTTAAATATATAATGGTGTAAAAACAAAAATGAAAATCAGGCAACAAGCTGTTTTGGCCACGTGAAGCAACTCATTCCTGTCGGTTGAGGAATCCCAATTGTCATTTTTATTTTCTGGCTTATTTACCCAGTGTACAGTACCTTTTATTTAAATGTATTAAGACTTTAAGAAAATTAGACCTCAAATGAAAGACCTTCTTGTCCCCATCAGCTAAAAACGAGGTACCCTATTTTATTGACTGTCAGCTTCTTTAGATGCTTCATCTGTAGTCTCAGCTGAGCCCTGTGGTGCCGAGCTGTTCCAAGAGAAATAGACGATGCTGAGCCCTGGTGAGAATTCGAACATCAAAGTGTCCTCGAAGCGCATCTGTGAGATACAATGGGAGCACGGCAAAGCTGAGAATCCCCTCCACAAGGTAGCCAGAAATCTTTTATTTGGCCATTTAACTGTTCATAGAACTTACCACTTTCATGTGGTAACAGAAAATCATTGAGGACTGTCCCTCCTGTTCAGCACTGACAAAGAAAACACTCCTGAGCATCGGTTCTCCTGGTGGTGGTGGTTCTGGTCCTTGGTACCATGGCTTGCCAGGTATCCCTCAAGGTTTGACTTGAAATATGGTTTTCCCTCAAGTTTTGATGGAGTGGGGGGTACATGTTTTCTTGTACTTTAATAATTATGGCTGGAAGAGTTCCTGTATGAGGCTGAATTGTTGTTCTGTAGCATTTCTAAGAGAGAATAATAGATAAGGGAAGAAAACATACAAATAAAGAATCCAGGACCAAAGGATTAGCGGGAGACCATTAGGGCAGTCCTCAGCTCTCAGAATAGTGTGAAACAGTAGCTGAAAGAGTCAAGTCCAAGTTAATAGCCTAGATTCCAGAGTCAGGCAGACAAGGTTGAATTCCTTGCTCCACTACTGTCTGATTCTCTGACCTTGAGCAAATAACCTTTCAGAACCTCGGTTTCCTCATTTACAAAATTAGCTGAAAAATATTTCCTCCCTCACAGATGTATGGCGAAGGTCATGCGAGGGAATGTCTGTTAATTCCAACTAGACTGCATGTTCCTTTAGGGAAGAAAGTAAGGTCTTTTTCCATTTATCAAAACATCTTGTATTGAGCAGCCCCTGTGTGCTGGACACTGGGACACCTTCCTTCGCCATGTTATCCCATCCCATTGTGACTGGCTTTATGCTCAGCATGAAGATAACGCTTATATATACTTGCTATATTAATGAAATAAAATTTCCCCAGTTTGCTTCTTTAAAAAAAATTGGCACGATGTGGGTCAGCTCCTTTATTCACCTCTCACACTCTCCTTAAAATATGGGCGAACTTTAATTTGGACACCCTATTAGTAAAAAGATGGAATGGTTAAATTTCTTCCCAGATCTCCCATGCCATAGGATTTCCTGAGGACATTCTTAATTAAAACTTGATACAAAGAAAGTTTTATTTTATGGAAGATGAAATATATGCAAAGGACCATGACTTTGTTACTATCATACTTTGTATTCTTGAAGTTTGGATCTAATTTTCGATTTAGGCATTTTGCGCCCCCTCCCCCATGAAATAGTATATGTTATAATGTAGCCGCTAATAAGATCTGATACAGCGACTTTAAATTGAATTTCATTAAAAAAATAAGAGCATAAAATGTCTTCCTAATAGTCTTAATTAGGGAAAATGGAACATCATAGTATTTCTCTATTAATGCACTAACTTCGATAATTGGGATAATATGCAATGTATAGTGAGAAAAATAGGAAGTTTGGGAGCCAAGGGAAAAATAACCCATCACTTTCAAGTTTCCAGTAGTTTTGTTTTTGGACCAAGGAAGCTCACCAGATGTTGGGCATAATGTCTTAAAGTAATTATTCCCTTTCATGTGTACGAGTCGGTATTGTCCTACCGAAGCCCTTGTTTCGTGGTGACTACTTCCCTGGGAAAGGCATTGTTCAGAATCTCACTGCTTCATAACAACTGCCACTTGTCCTCCTGATTAGGGCATTGTGTGAAAACAGTGCATTCATTGCAGGGTTCTTACCAATCTCTCTCCTTTCATCCAGAGGCTTCCAGTTTTCTCAGCGAGCTGTGCCTTTGCATTTTTAATTGAACGCTCCTAAAAGTTGATATCATGTATCCTGCCTGCCTGAAATCTCTGTTCGTACCTCACTATGATGGTCTTATCTGTCTCTTTTTTATTTCAGTGTGGTTGGGGGGTGAAATTAGGCTTGATTCTCTAATTGGAAGCCACGTGGGGCATCTGCATGATGATAACTGTACCCAGAACTCAATAGATACCCAGAACTTTGAGAAAGAAGGGTGCCATTTTGTAAAACCATAGAAAATGCTACTGGGCATTTTACAGAATTGTCAATCAGGATAGAATGGACACTAATTGCTTCTCCTACAGCTGCTAACATCCTCTTCAGTGACCAAGCAATCCTTAAGACAGAGACAAACTCTCTTAGACATCTGAAGATTTCCTACAAACCTAAGTAGATTTCCAAGGTGACATCTGTGATGAGTTGGTCATTGATTAACATAAATGAGGTGCTAACACTTCTGAACAAATTGAGCAAATAAAATATTTTAGACAGAAAGACCTGATTCTATTGAAAGCATATAGTTATCAGGTAAATACAATTCTATGTTTACAATTTTGGAGAGTGTTTGTGTCATGATGTTATGTGTTATTCTATCATGGTGTTCTCCAGAGTAGAGGTGGATACTTCAAAGGGTCAACACACCAATCCAGTAGGGTTCATACCCATAACAAGTTATTAAAACTTCCCTCTATATTTTTACCTAAAATTAAGAAAAAACTTAAGCTTTACTAGTATTTAAAATAGAAGTTTATAGTAGTATGTGTTTATAATTCATAACTAAATATATACATATACCGTATACTCCAAAATTTTTTTACTAATCAGAGTGTATGTTAGTTATCTATTACTGGGTAACAATTACCCCAAAACATAACAGCTTGAAACAGCAAACATTTATTATTTCACAGTTTTTATGGGTTGAGAATCTGGGTGCAATTTATCTGGCTGCCTCTAGCTCAAAGTCTCATGGACTCAAAATAAAGCTGTTGGCCAGGGCTGTGGTCACATTTGAAGGCCCAACTGTTGGAGAATCTGCTTCAAGCTCACTTCCTTGGTTGCTGGTAGGATTCAGTTTCTTGTAGAATGCTGGACTGAAGGCCTTAGTTTCTCACTGTCTGTTAGCTGGATGTCTTTCTCCTCCCCTTATCTTTTTAATAGAGTAGCTCACAATGTGGCAGCTGGCTTCCGTGGAGGGAGAGGTGAGAGAGGAAGGAAGAGCATTCAAGTCAGAAGCCAGTCTCTTTCTAACTTAATTGTAGAAGAGGAATTCTAGCACTTGTATGATATTTGATTCAGCAGAATAGAATAAGAAGCAAGTCAGACTAGACTAGACTAGACTGGAGTAGAACAGAACAGAAGTGATTTGCTAAATCTGCCCATGTTCAAGGGCAGGGTATTATACAAAGACTTGAACACAAGGATGCAGGGATCATTTGGGACTACTTTAGGGGTGGTTACCACAGAGTGTATGGTGAAAAATTCTGGACACCACTTCTTTAGAGCATAGTTCTGCAAACTTTTCTGTAAAGATCCAGATTGTAAATATTTTAGGCTGGGTGGGCCACTAATGATTACTGTTGTATATTTTTTTCTTTCTTTTTATTTTTTTTACAGCCTTTAAATAATATGAAAACTATTCTTAGTATGAGGGCTGTACAAAAATAGGCCATGGGCTAGATTTTTTTCTTGCATACCATTGTTTACCAACACTTTCTCCAATAGACCATGAGGCAGATTTCAGCTCAAGTTCTAAAAGAGCTCTAACAATTAAGGCTATCCAATGATAAAACCAGTTTGCTCAAAAAATAGGACAAATCACTTATTTATAGACTTATTTAAGCAAAGTTGCAAAGTTCTCTTTTACTGGGTGAGGGGTGCTTGGAACTGAGAGGTAAAACCTGGAAAATGGACCAGTTGAGCCCTTCCCAAAGTCAGAACATTAGTTTCACAAGATGTGGCTCAATAAGAGTGCCCCCTGGATAAATAAGGTTGGAAATGCTGGGTGCTGTATTCAATTTTGAGAGAAATACAAAAGTTTAGCACACGGAAGTCTCCGAGAAGTAAAGAAACTTGTTTGATTCTGTTTCCTCCATACATTTGACCAAGGCATCTTCCAAGTCCCTTTGTGAAAGTAACACCCATGATTTTTATTACATGGAACAAATTTAGGAAACATTTGCATCAGTGACTTATAAGATCTATTCCAACTTTTGTTGTTTCATGATTCTAGACGTGGAAGATGTTATTTGGTTCTCTTAGTACATAGTTTTATGGATTTCTGTTTAATATGTTTCAGCATTTATCAGCTACATGTATTAAGCCTCTTACTAGGCATAGAAAGATCAAAATAATATAACACTTGTCCTCAAGAAGCGTATTCATTTCTTCTAGGCTCTAAAATTTAGTATAGTGCTTTTCATATAGAAGGTACTTAGGAAAGGTTTGTTTAATAAATGAAGATTGAGAAAACAGAGCCCTTTGAATCGTTTGGGATTGTGGACACATAGGAGAACTCAACAAATATACATAAAATGAATCAATGAATTCTGGATGAAAAATAGCAATGCCTTTATTTATCCCGATGTCACCATGATGAATCTGGATATAGGTTCCTGCGCAATCAAACTAAGTTTATCACTATTGTAAATGAAGACGCTTAAACTAAAATTGTATTCTTGAAATTCAGATTCATTTTAGAATCTGCCGCTTTAAAAATAACCCTTGTGGATTCAAGTCGACATCTTTCCACTAGATGGTCTGATATGGCTGTGGCTTTCATCTTCGTATAATAGAGTATTATCTGGTTACAACACATAATTCAATTAACATTATCCTTTAAATTTCTCCATCCTTTGTTGAAATGCTTAAATTTATTCCTCTTTTATCCTTGCCTTTCCTTTTTCAATCTTAGAAACTACTGTCATTAATCTATATCTTTTGAGGTTATCATTTCACTTTAGCTCAGAAGCATTCCATTCTTATCATCCACAGTACATCGTCTGGGCTGTTCTTTATATTGTGTGTTGCCATCAATATTCCATCTTTATATATTTTTAATATTAGCCAAGAATGTTGTATCATCTTCAATTCCGGTCAGATAAAATAAATGTTCCATTGGATATGTAAATGATCCTGTAAGCCAGATGAATTAGGAGGTTTTGCCTTCAGTGTTGAAAAAGATCTTTATCCTTAAATCAGACATTATGGAAACAAATGAAATGTTACATGCTGGCATATTTTTAAATGCTAATTTTTTAACCTCCCCATGAAGAAAAAAATGGCATTTGCAACCCAGGATTTGCTCTGGAAAGTGAAGTCTTTTCATTTATTTACCAAAAAAGAGAGGATGAGGAATACTTAGGGAAGCTTTCATTCTCTTTCTCTCTCCAGCTGTCAGGTTATAATAGCGTTGGCCTCTGATTGCCTGGGCTGGAAGCAAATGGATACCCTTCAAACGTCCAGGGAAATCATATTCCAGAATGTTTTAACTGGAAGGACTCTAACATGATACCTGATCCAAACCTGTTTTTACAGTTGAGAACACTGAAGTTTAAAGAGATTAGATGAATTATTAAAGGCCATAAAGCTCATAAGACTGTACTAGAGGCCATATTTCCTAACTCTCAGTTCAGCGTTCATCCTACTATCACATCATGGTACCTTCTTTTCTCCAGGTTTTGCTGAATATTTAAGTGAGGACTTCATGAACAGATCAGAGTACTTAATAACTGATGTCCATTGAGACCCCCAGGTAGGAATATCAAAGTAAAGTAAGCCTTAAAATAATTAAATGAATGAAATTTTGACTTACAACTAGGTGATCTTTGGTAAAGGCAGAAATACGAGCATGGAAGTTAGTGGTGGCTGCATCCCCATAGTGTTGAAATAACTAGTTGCATCAGGACGTAATAATAAAGTCCATGGAAAGGAAAGCATAAATGAGAGACCGAGTGTTTGAAAGTTTTGGAGCCTTTGATGCTGCTCTCTAGATGTCTAATCTATTCTCATTTTAATTGCATTTTAGAAAGATATTTTAGATGTTTTGGAATGTTTAAAGAAGCAGAGCAAATGGTTTGGATGTAGGCATATCTGAAGGGTCCCTTCTTTTGCTATCTTGAAACTTATTTATTAAAGATCTGAGAGAAAAGCCAGAGAATAAATGGAATGTAAAACAAAATCTGTGAGGATTAGCAATAAAAAAATTAATAGAAATCATTCTGACCTTGAGAGGCAAATTGTAACAAAAAATTCCGAGTACAACAAATATAGTAACTGCCATTACTATGAGGTGTATATCAAAACCACATCCTCCATCCTCTGTTTATGTTTTTAGACCACAGACTAGCTTCTGCCATCTTACATGTCAAATGTTGTTTCTTCCCCAATATCTACATACTTCTAGTAATGGATGCCTTAGCTCATATTGTGATACGGCCTCCGGCCCCATACCTCCACGTAAGGAGGTCAAATTAGTCAGTATTTCAGGTGGTAGAAATTCCTTAAAGCTATCTCCACACTCTGATGGCTATCAATAATTTAGTTATACATAGAAGTGACTGAATGAAACCATATAAATCTTTCCCCCTAAACCCATAGTAAATATGTCCCCAAACAACCTTCTCAGTAACAGAAAAGCAGAGACCTAGGAAAGATAAATGATATGGCTCCGCTCACCAGCCAATCAGGGCTGAGATTAGAACCCACATCTCGGGCTCGAGTCTACTGACCTTTCCTTCATTCTTGGGCGCCCTGGCTTTTCCTGGGCTTCCAACTGTACTTCCCTCGGGAACCAGGAGGAAGATTTAGGGCTCTTCCTAGTTTTCCAAGCGGATGATTGGCAGTGTTTCTTAAAAACAGATTTTCGTCATACTCTCTGGATAGAATATTTTCAGTGGATTCCCATAACTTTGATAGTAAAATCTAAGGGAGATTCCTCTTTATAGAAATTAAAATGTTTCACTCTGGCCCCTGCCTAGCTCACCGATCTTCTCCTTTAGCGTCCCCCTAGGTACACAACAGATTTCCTTCGTTTAGGAAATTTTGCAGTCCTCTGATTTTTTTTTTTTTCCTCCTGGCTTTTATATTTTTATAATTGTGTTTCTCTGTGTGAAATACTCTTCTGCTTTTTTTTTTTTTTTTTGGCCTGGCTAATTATTTCTAGGTTCACCTTGGGATATAGATGAAAAAGTTGTATATCCCTCACCAATTTTTCAGTTTTCAACAGTCCCTGCAACAAATTGTATGCAACACCATGTGCTACAGAATTACCTTCAAATAGGGCAAATTCTTGCATTAAAATATCACCTCTTAGCCCTATGATGAGACTGTACAAATATTTCAGAGATGGTTTGTAGTTAGTAGGTGATACAGTGCAAGCCAGCTCATGTTTTTAAATGTTATGCCCAGAAGAGATCTTTGAAATTTTATAAACAGATGGATTCTTTTTACTCGATTCACTAATGTTTTACAATTAACTAATTAACAGGTTTATTGCCAAAATTAGCAATAAAAAGTGTTCAGGAGCTTCGACCAAAGCGGTCTTTTGCAATTACATAGATACCAAAACAATCTGCGTGATAGTTTGGGGCTAACCGTTGCTCACATCAGAATTTCACCTGCTGTTTTCAAATAAAAGTTGACAAATACAAAAATGAACCCTGCAGATTTCCACACTCCTTTCATATACACAAGTCTCTGCCTTAATTAATAATAATTACAGGTAACACAAACTATAGTGAGAAGGCTACATGTTCCCAGATTGCTTTCAAGTGTGCAAAATCGCTTAGCAAACAGTTCTGAAGGACTCTCAGGGAGCATTTCTATGTGAAGTCCATCTGTTATTCTCTAGCTAGCAGGACCTTTGATGAGGTATTCAACTTTATCTCCTACTGTTTCCGCAGTAACCCACATAGTGCCCTGTCCTGTGAGTCAGCATCGCAGGGCAACTCTGGTCCTACCCGCCAGCCTCTCCAACACACCCCAAGCCTCTGCGATATTCACATCTGTGCATACTCTGCATTTTGCTTTGGCGGTGGCCATTGTTCTGCCTAGAGGACCTTCCAGGCTCCTTCATGATTTAGTTTAGGCATCACCTCTTCCGGGTTATATTTCCCAGTCAGCCCCCTACTCCTGCCTCCAGAAGATGGAATTCGATGTAGAAGAGGAAGATGGATTTCCTTTTGGTGTCCTTTTATTGAGCTGCAAGCAACTTGCAGGGAAGAAATATGTTTTTGATTTTAAAAAATCTAGGCTCGATAACTATTAGAAGGAGAAAAAAAAAAGAAATAAAGAACTAAGAGAGAGGGAAGACAGGAGGTACAGAAAGAGGAAGGGAGAAAGGAGAGAAAGCCATGCTTTTGCTTATTTCTAGGCTCTCTGGAATCCTCTAGTCCCCATTTCTCAGTTCATCTTTCTGAACCCCCATAGCAGTTTTGTTTGTACCATACCACTTAATACTACTACTTTTCTTAAAACCTTGTTTTAGAGCGTTATATTTTTGGGAGGGGGGCATGAAAATCTGCTTCTTGAAATGGAATCTTGGCACTTAGCAAGATATGATCCATTCTAACTCCCTTCCCAATGTGAGAATCTTATTGGCCCTTCTGAAAATGCTCTTGAAGCTTCTTTGGTGCCTAGCCCTTCATAAACATTTTCTGTGCATGATTAATCAATGAAACATTCCTTATACTTAACAAGATTAAATACTTTTCTTATGGTTTTATTGCTGTATTAAATGAATTGCTTTTGTATTTCAACCCTGCCATGTTCCCAAAATACACACCATTGGCTAAGAGTCAGTTGTGATCTCTTAATCTTATGGCGTGGCCTGAGCAGGAAGTTAAAGTACAGCATATGCGACTTTATTTCCTGATTTCTTAGGCTCAGTTCAGCTGACCCCTTCTCCGGAAGCCTTCCCTGACTTCTCCACCATGAGGTAGGTAGTCCTGTGTACTTCCAAGGCATCACTGTGCATACCTTTATCACAACATTGATAGCCTTTGTATAGCAATTATCTGTCCCCTGATTTTACCTGCGTCCTCCACTAGGCCTTCACCATCTGGAAGGCAGTAACAGTGTCTTCTTTATCTTTGCATGGTCACTGACACGGAGCCTAAGACATGCCATCCCTCCTGGAAATCATCTTCTCTTAGGCTGCAGAAGCTCTCCTTAGAGAAACAAACCTGCATGCATACTCCCCTGCAGAAAAACCTCTGAAGGCTCCACATGGTCTGTAGGGGAAAGTACAAACCTGTTGTTTTGAAATGGATCTTTCATAATATGGTCCAATCTAGCCTCATCCTCTGTTTCAGACACTGGAATTTTCAGGGCTTACATGTCCATTTACCTCTGTGTTATCTTACATTTTCAATAGACAAAAAACAATCTTTCTTTCCATTAGTCTCTGCTAGCTGAATATCTCTCTTCTTGGAAATGTCCCATCCTTCTTTAAAGATTCGGCTCAAGTATTAACCAACTCCTTGGTATTCTGAAAGCACTTTGACCTGACATAGCACGCATCCATCATTCAACTAATATTTCGGTAAGCACCTACTAGGAGATAGAACTGGGAACCGAGGATTCACTATGTGAGCATGGGATTTCTTTAACTGTCTTCTTTACTCCCTCAACTAGGCAGGAACCCTGATCGTTTCGTCCTTGTATTTCTCTTCGAAAAAGCGCATTGTCTGGCCAATTATGATAGTTTAAATGAATATACTCTTGGGCATTTCTTGGTTATTGATTCATTATCAATCTCATGCCAATATTGCATTTTAACTACGCATTTTACATATCATTTAAGAAAATGTAAGTTACTATAGGTAGAAATCCCATGAATGATTTTTTTTTTCAGAGTGCTAAACTCTGCATTAATTCCAGAAGCTAACAATATCTCCTTGCTACCATCTTTCTAATCTGTCCGTTTAGAATTCTATTCTTTCACTTTTGTACTTTCCTGTAGTTAATTTTTGCATTAACATTGTCTTTGACATTGTGTTAGATATAATGCTTTAATTTTTAGCATAATGTATGGAGAATTAGGTTTACAACTCCTCGACTGATAATGGCAATTTTCATATTCAAACTCCTCGTGTATTTTATTAAAATGTACAGCATTATTTCATCCAGGTTTCTTCAGGGAGCCGAGCAGATCCTATTCAAGCAACTTTAGAAGAAACACAAGCCTTATTCACTAGCATCTTATTTTGATTAAGCAGTAACTTGTTGCTGTGCTTTTCATGGAGGAAAAATGCTGTACAGAAGGAGACGTAGCCCACACAGAGTGGAGATCAGAATGTATGCCATTCTAATGCGGTTAACACGTGTAGAATCTTAACACATCACACCGAGGTCCAGGGTAGTTTCCTAGAAACCAAACCAGGAGTAGTGAATCCTGCTAGTTCTCTCTTCTCCTCTCTACCCTAGGGAGAGCACATCCAAATGGTTGTGCACACCCAGAGTGGAACCGGTCTTAATGATCTCTACTTAATCAATTGCCGAATTAGTATTTTTCTGGATTGATTGATGGATTGTATTAATTGGCATTCTCTGTTTCTTCTCTAAAACACATGTGTTGACAACCTATGCTGGCTAACACTCATGGCACTTTGAATACTCAGAGTTAGCAGGCCACGCTTTCTTACATTGGTTTCCTTGTTTGTTTATTTACTTTATTATTTATTTTTTCAGCT